TCATCATAAGTTAATGAATCACCGTACAGGCACTGTAGCATCCTCCATACTGGGTTAGTGATCAAATTATGAAATTTTAAAATTTAGTGACCAAAGTAGATAAATTGAATAGTTGAAAGATTTAATGGGAATATTTCATGTAGGATGGATAAGCAAAGAAGGGAAATTAAGAGGGCAAATGAGTCTTTTAGCAAGAGAAATAATTAAATATTACTTAAGGTTATTTAATAAACCACGTGGAAGTTAGTAGAGAAGGCAAAAGTTTCCAAATTTTTCTTTTTCTTCTTCTTCTTCTTCTATCTTCTTCTTCCCCGTGAGACCAAGCTAAAGGTGAGTTTTCTTGTTAATCAAATTCTTGATGAATTTAAGGTTGCTTATTGATCCTTAGATGATAACTAAGCTTAAGGAAAGCTTAGATTATCTTAAAATAATAAGATGAGGAGTACATGAAGGATTAAAGAAAATAAGTAGAAAAGTGAAATCTTGTAATAAAGTTCATAATAAGAATTAGAAGTAGGATTTGACTTGTCATCAAGCTAATTAAGGAATAGGAAGTGTTAGAATTAAAATTTTAACATGTTAGAATTTGAGTGAGATTCTTAGATTCCATATAGAAGATTGGATTTCTAAATTTTAGAAGTATGGAATGAATAATAATTAGTTTAAATAAGAGTATGCAAGTTAGGGATATAAAATGAGGTAAAATATAAAGTGTAGAGAAGATTATAAAAAGATTTTCGTGCTTAAAATGACAGTTTTGGGCTATATGCATCGATGCACATTCAATGTGCACCGATGCATCAAGGATAAATCCCAGAAATTGTTCAAGGTGTATCGATGCACTCTTTTAAAATACAAATATCAAATGCCATCAGTGCATCGATGCATAAGGAGTGCATCGATGCACCCCCTTAAATATAAACATCGAATAGGATTTATGCATCGATGCATGGTGTGGTGCATCGATGCATACCTTCATTAAAAGATGAAAATGGCTTTTCTTTTAGCCCAAGAAATGATAGTTTGGAATACATTAATTAGTATACTGATTAGCATCAATGAATTACTCTGTAGATACCGAGCCTAAACAAGTTCCAGAACAATTGCCTCGTAATTTCGATCGAGGAAAAAACAAGGAAATATAGGTGAGTGCATATGCATAGCATGAATATAGTATTATATTCAGTTCTAGACTTATGATAAGTCTAGATTCAATATTTTGATACATGATCGCATTTCATATTATGATACATGACATGAATTCATATTATATGCATTAAGTGACATGAATGTGTAGGAAATGTTATATAAGCTATGTGATAAAGTGATGGAACATGATATGTTCATGTGATAAAGGTATGGAAATTATATGTCTATACAATATAAATTATGGGAATGGTGAAAGCCCATGTTATGTAGATAAGAACTATAGGTATAGTTGGCATGCCAAGAGTAGATGGTCTACGCGGTCCTTCGGGACATATATGTATTCTTTGGAACATGTGTGAGGTCTTTTAAGACACATACTTGATCCTAGGCATATGTATATGATTCTTAAGGAAATTTTCTACGTGGTCCTTAGGGTCAATCTTATATGGCACTACGGTGCAATTCTACGGCACTTCGGTGCAATTCTAAGTGGCACTTCAGTGCATTTATACGAGCTATGGTGACAGCATAATGCACAACCTCACAGTACTCACATACCTTAGGTTCTCAGTATGATATCATGGGCCAATAATCTTATTAATATGAATTCATGAATGTCAATATATTATGCTTACAGGTAAAGAACATGGTGATATAAACTGCATGGTTAAGCATTTGATTTTATCTCATTCCATTAAATTATGGCAATTCCATTACATTTCTTTGTTATTATTATTATTATATTACCTCACTAAGTCGATGACTTAGCGTGTGAGTGTTTTACACGTAGGATCCAAGAAAGTAGACGAGACAGGTTAAGCAGCTGGACAATATTACTCCTGCAACTATCAGATCAGAGGCAACTTGAGTAGTAGGTCCTTTTGTTATGTAAATGAATGTTGGCATGTAATCAAAGTGTCAAGTGATGTATGCTCTGATTATTTTGATAAACTTGTATTAATATATGTATAGTATTGTATTTTAATAAAATAAGTTCGAATGTTTTATCAGTTTTTTTAAAGTATTATTTTGTATAGTCAATGTGACAGCCTGGACTCGTATCCGGGTCGGGTATGGGTTGAGGGTGTTACAGGCACTTCGTGTGCATAATCACGAAATTCATCATAAGTTGATGAATCACCGTACATACACTTCATGTGCATAATAATGGAATTCATCATAAGTTGATGAATCACCGTACAGACACTTCGTGTGCATATTCACGAAATTCATCATGAGTTGATGAATTTCCGTATAGGGTACTTTGTGTGCTAACATGTTAATGAACATAAATATAATGGAGTAAAAGAACCATAATAGCACCAATGGTGCAAAGTTATAAGTCTTTACAATAAATTGTAAAGAGTTACTTGACATTAGAATTGTTACCCTATATTATGTTTATAAGTTGATTATGATTATGTTTACCTCACTAAGTAATACTTAACGTGTGTTCATTCCACATGTAGGTTGAATACCAGCTGGGTAAGGAGATCATCGGACATCCAGTCAGAGTCGCCTAATCAGTAACAATATGACATACATGTCTACTTTTGATATGTTTTAGTTGGCATGTAATAGGTGTAGTAAAAACGCTCTGTAAAACCTTTGAATTGAACTACCGTAAAACGGTAAAATTTGGAACATCTCTTTTGTGTGTATATATAAGCTAGTACATGTTTTAATTATAAATACATTTTAATGGTTTTATAAAATGAAACAAATTTATACATATTTTTATATGGGAAAACTGTTTTAAAAGTGATGTAACATCTGTAGCTCTTATACGTAAAGGTATACGGGAGATGAGTGTTACAAAGAATCTACATAAATTAGATATAACGCCATGTTTTAGTGACTAATTTGTTACTTTTAGGGTAAATTATGTGTTTAGTACCTAAACTATAAGTTTTGATCTGTTTAGTACTTAAACTTTCAAAATTTTCAAAAGCATACCTAATATTTAATTTTTGTTTTATTTTAGCACTCATTCGTTAACAACTTAATGCGTTTAGTACTTAAACTATTAGTTTTGGCCCGTTTTATTACCCAAACTTTCATATTTTTTCAAAACTTAAGTATGGTTTAGGTACTAACGTGTTTTGGTACCTAAACTTTCAATTTTTTCAACACTTAAATTTTGGTACTAAAAATAAAATAAAAACTGAACTTTAGGTATGATTTTGAAAAAAAAAATAAAAGTTTAGGTACTAAAATGGATCAAAACTAATAATTTAGATACTTAGTACGTAGTTTACCCATTTTTCTATGCTAAAAACGATGTATGCATTTGTGTTCAACATTTTTTTGAAAAATAATAAACATCATAGGTATTAGAATTACTTAATTGATGCAAAAACAATTATGCATATTAATTCAAAGATCTTAGAATATTATAATTTTCACAATTAGAATAAGTAATTAAAAAACATATCTTGATTTATCGAATTGATTTTAGAGATAATTTGATTGAAAAAAAAATGATTAGGAAAAGCTTGGTTTCTTTCACTTTACCTCTTAGTATTTAACAATATTTTGATGGAGAGAAAAAAGGTACTTTTTTGTTCTAAAAAATATAAACTATTCTCATTTTCTTAAAAAATAGAAAATGTCGAATAAAATGTATTTGATTGTAAAATTAAACAATAATTTTTAAAAAATAAAAACGAAAATAAGTAAAAATATGAAAAAATGTTTTAATATTATCATTAAAATTATTCTAGAAATTTGAAAAATAAGAAAAACATGAGATCTAGTTTTTTAACTTAACTTGCACGAGTTCAAATTCTTCTAACAACAATTTTTTTCCTTAATAGTATCTAAAACCCTCAAACTTTTGCAGAAAAACTAATGTGGCCCCTAAACTAGTTTTACACTCATTATAGTCCTTAAACTGGTTTTTTAATAATTTAATAATTTAATTTTTTTAGTATTTTTATATTTAATCTATTTTAAATATAATTAGGACATATTACTATAAAAATTGACACAAGAAACTAACCATTTGAGATCATACAGAATCATATAAGGAAAATGTTAAAAACTAATTCAAAGAACTCGAATAAAAATTACAAACAAATCTGACTGCATCTGTGAACGAAACGCAAAGAAAATTAAACTATTTAAAGACCACCAACAGATCACAAATCAGACTCGAGTGTCATGAGAAAACTATATTCGAATGTAAATCATGTATCCAAATACAATCCGATAGTTTAAAAGCAGGGAAGATCAACATGATAACAAATAGACACCATTTTGATCAGTCCAGAAACAATGAATACCGACAATCGGTAACCAGCATCAAGACTAGTGTCATCGTCAATTACAAAAATAAAGAAAAAAAGAGATTAACAACGGTAAAAGGAAAAGAAAAAATTTAGGGTAAACTAAATATATATATCTCTATTTAAAATAATTATATATTGGATTACAGATGGAATACAATAAAATTGTAAAATAAAATAATTAAAGTTCAACACAAAAATAAAAATATTATAAATATTTCAATTTAAATAAATTATTTTATCAGATTATTTGTAAAATATCAGATTTGATACAACTTCTCTATGGTAAAAAGAAAAATCCACATGAAAGATAAGAATCTATTATTGTAATTGTAATTGAAAATGATTCGAATAGTTTTAAGAATATTTTAATTAAAAATGATAAAATATGTAAATACTTTAATAAATGGAATAACTTTTCTTTTATCAAATTAACGCCACTAACTTAATTATCAATTGAAATATAATTATTGGAAAAACATACAACCATGCCCTTTATTTATAGTAAATAGCTAGCTATGCGTCAACTTACATCAATCTTTTTTTTAAAATGAAAAATAAAGAAATTCAACCATTTTGGAGGTTTCACTTACTTAACGCTCCCCTTTTCTTTCAATCAATTTCCTTTTCGAAATTTTAAACAAAAATGATTACACTCAAGCCGGCTAATCCTCCGATTTATTGTTCTTCTTCCGGTTCCAAGAGTGGACAGTTTTTTCTTGTTCCAAAGATTGGTTTCATGAAGTTGCCGTCGCTTTCTTTAGGGTTGAATGGTGGTAACCATGCCAGGTTGAGCTTGATTCTGGCGACGGAGGAATCCACTGTCGCGATGACGAATGGCCGTGCCGCCGCTGTCGTTTCCGGTATTGTTTTTAACATATTTTTTCTTAATTTTCATTGGTGACAAATGTTTAAATTTCTTTTTTGTGGCCAAGAATTTAGTTCAAACTTCAAGGTGTTATTTTTTCCCGCGTCGGTGGAATCAGATTGAATCTTGTTTTTAATTAAAAGAAAATGAAATCTAGTTTCTTCCACCTTAATCTCGTCGGTGGTATTAGATACTGCCAGAAGTGGTATCTTTAGCTGGCTTGGGTTCTGAAGCAATTTATTATGGTGGGAAAAGGTTTAATTAGTTGGGTAGTTTTGATATGCTATAGTTTAATTTAAGGTTAATTTAGTCAGTTTTTAATTTAAAATATTATTATATTTAACTTATATATAAATTTATAACATTTCGGTTGTTACGGACTAGGTTTAGGACTTACAAATGAAAATATGATTAAAAATAGTAATATTTTCTGTTTCAATATAAAATATTATTTTATCAAACTTAAAAAAATAGTCAATTTTTATTTTTAATCTTATATTAACAAATTATATTTTAGAATTTAGGTAATTATGGTGATTTTCTCAAAAAATCACTGATTTTTTTTAATTATTTACGTGTCAGACACCGTTAGATAAAATATTACGGATCTAGCACCCTTTGTAGAAAGATGCGTCCCATGCACCACGACACGTGTTGAAAGATGCAACCCATTAATCGTGCTTTTCTAGGATGGGTGTTAGATTTGTAAAATTTTCAAAAACGATGTCTAACAGGTAATTAATTTCTGTTAGGTGATATTTGTGTAAAAACGTAATAGCTAATCAATTATTATATAATAAAATTAAGTAATATGACCATAAATTATCAAAATAATGATGACTCAATTATTAAAATAAAATGAATTAAAAATAAAATAATAATAAATAAATTTTTAAAAAATCAGATAAAAATAAAATATATTAAAATATTTGATATAATTATAACTCATGTATTTTCAATTATTATATTAAAAATCAATTATAAATTATGATACATCGACCAATTAATGGAGTATATATATTCGTTATAATTTAAATTAATCATTTATTCTGCTATTATTCAAATTAATTAAGAAAACTAATGGTAAAATATTTCTAAAAGAAAAGTATAAACACATACATGAAAATCTAAAGATTTCTCTTTGTTTTGTGTTACTCTCTAAATTTGTAACAAAATTCAATAAATAAAGTAAAATTAAAAAATATCACTTATATATTTAAAATATTCTTTCTAAAATTAATTTTAAAAAATATAAAATAAATATAAAATTCTAGTTTTATTAAAAATGAATACACATTATTAACTGTTGTTAAAAATAATAATTAATGAATAATAATTCATTTGATCACTTAATTGTAATTAAAATTTTATTTTAATATTTTTAAACAATTAATTTTAAAAGTTAAGAATTTTTTCAAAAATATGAAATTTATAATTTTTAAATTATAAAATATTTATTATTATTATTATTATTATTATCATCATCATCATCATCTTGGAAAAAAATAATGGTTATAAAAGTTTTATAAAATTATTCATATTTTAAATTATTTTTCCTCAAAGTTTTTCTAAATTAGACTATACATATATAATTTTGAAAGGGTCAAAAAGGTATCAGAAAGTGTAAAATGGTAATTGGTAGACAACTGTATGCAAAAACAAAAAAATTTCGAGTTATAAAATAATTTGAAAAAGCATATTTAAAGATTTTAAAGCAAAAAGTTTTTTGCAAACGAAAAAAAGTTGACGTTTTTACATAAATATCATCCTAACAGAAATTAATTACATATTACGTACCATTTCAGAAAATTTTATGAATCTAACACCCATCCCAAAAAGGTTCGGTTCATGGGCCGCGCTTCTCAACACGTAGCGCCACATCAACGTAAGGCGCGGTGCATGAGATGCGTCTTTCTGCAAAGAGTGTTAGATCCGTAATATTTTCTCTTACGGATACGAAAATTGCCCGTAATTATCGTATTTTTTAACTTATTTTCAAACTTAATTGGGGTATACACTTGTAAGCATTGCAATTATTTTTGTACTTTGCTCTGATTGGTTCTTGTACTTCTCTTTCTATACCGTGGCTGCATCTGGAATCCCTTATTTAAAATGGTGATTATCCATGAATATTCGGCTGGAATTGATAGGTTACTCCAAAGTCCAACCCCATTTTCTTGTCATAGATATATAGTTTCCCAAACTACCTTGAGTCCTTGACAAGGGTCTACATTCTAGATAGCCTCATGAGGGTCATTTCTGGTTAAATCTGAGACAACTTATCATGGAAAATTGGAAGCAGACCAGTTAACCCTCTCTAACTATCCATTATATACTGTTGTACATCTTATTAAGGTGTAAAAAAAAAAATCTGACATTTGATTTCCGAATAATTCAAATCTGCAATTCAAGGAAAAACGGATAATCAGGTGGAATACAGATACAAATTGTTTAAATTCTACAAAATTAATCCTTTAGAGTTTGGACACCTTTTAACTTAATAAATGAGTGACCCACTAATCCATTAAGCCTCTAGTACAAATATATATATATATATATATAAATAAAAGATGTTGAATAAAGTTAAATATAAAATTTAAATGTGAATTTTTTATCAAAATAAGTTTTATGTTCGGATCTAAATATCCAATTCAAAAATTTGTATATTTGAAAAATCTAATATCCAACCTTTTCAGATTGAATACATATTACAATTCTAGTAATACAAATTTTCAGATTGAATAATATCCGATAGCCAAAAATATACACCCCTACCTATCAGATATCCAAAAATATACACCCCTATCTCCTATGATTGTCAGAATCCGTTTGTAGTACATCCATGAAATAAGTTAGTGGACTCCTCGTTATTGGACACATATGTTGTACATACTTTACAGTATGTTGAGCATGCTCATGTGCCACACATAGCCTCTTGACTTCCAAATTCGGGTAACATAGTTTCAAACTCATGATATCTTTGGATATGGTTTCCTTCCGGTTGGGTTTACTAATTTCAAAGGTTTAACTAGGTGAATATCCACCACAAATGGTTACTAATGGAAAGCCAGGAAACATTGTATGGCACAGAAGTTCAGTTGGTAAAGTTCATCGGCAAGAGTTACTTCAGCAAAAGGGTTGTGTCATATGGATTACGGGTCTCAGTGGCTCAGGTTTGTTCAAGTAGTATTTTATACTACTTTTCACATTAGTGCTCATCTGTAGTTGCTATGAGCTTATTTGTTGTTTTCTGCTACCTAAGAATATATAAGATGGTTTCATGGGCTTATGGTGTGCTTTTGTAGTCTCTTTTATGTGCTAAAACAGTAAATAAAACGTTTCTAAAAACTGAACCACTGGTGTATGAATTTAGGAAAGAGCACTTTGGCATGTGCTCTCTGCCAAGCCTTGTATTCTACCGGGAAGTTGACGTACATCCTTGATGGTGATAATGTTCGTCATGGGTTAAACCGTGACCTTACTTTTAAAGCCGAAGATCGTGCAGAAAACATTCGAAGGATTGGTAAATGCTGATTGATTTCTCATCATAGTCCTTTCCTTTATCCTTTCACTCTCTTCTTGTGGTTTCAAGTTGCAACTTTGCATGATTCACAAACAGGAGAGGTAGCAAAGCTCTTCGTTGACGCCGGCATCATCTGCATTGTCAGCGTGATATCTCCCTATCAAAGAGACAGGGATGCATGCCGTGCACTGTTGCCAGAAGGAGATTTCATTGAGGTAATCCATAGGTGAAATAAAATTTAAATCAGATAGGGCTTCTTTACTGCTTTATAAACCTGCTATGACAGGTGTTCCTGGATGTGCCAATCGAAATATGCGAGGGAAGGGACCCAAAGGGCCTGTATAAACTTGCAAGAGCTGGAAAAATTAAAGGTTTCTGCCCTTAATTTTGTGCCTTGAAGATTGGTATAAGCTAACATTTAAAGAGTTGCTTACCTAATATTTTCTTTGTAGGTTTTACCGGTGTCGATGACCCGTATGAACCACCTCTGAATTGTGAGGTATGTGTATTGGAGTAACATTCTTGTATAATTGGTCACAAGTACATGAAAATTTTCAGCTGACATGTATCTTGAAATGGTCATTTCTATTTTACAGTTAACATTGCCACCAAAGGGATACAGCTGTGCTTCCCCATCCGAAATGGCCGAAACTGTGATATCTTACCTGGAGGAGAAGGGGTACCTGCAGGCCTAAGAAGGTACAAATCGAGTGATTACCGGTTTCCATAATCGACTGTAATTCCACCAATGAAAATCGATTATTTTCTAAATCAAGGAAATTTCTCATTTCCTGCATTAGAAGAACTTATGGTTTCATATATCCATGTAATCCTGTTTTTGGCATCAAGGAAACTTCTTGTTTCCTGTATATGTAGTTTATGTTATGTATTAGATAATTAGAATGCGTGTCCTTTGTTAGGCCTCATTAAAGCCTTGCTATGGGGGAGTAATTGGTGCATCGATTTGTATCATATGGCGTTGTAATGGTTTTGCTTACTAATAAACTCAGATTTTCTCTTAAGGATACCCTTTTAAGTTCGTATTTTTTTTCAATAATATTTTAAAGAACCTTTTTAGTTAATTTTAAAATAAAATATTTTTCAGTTTAAATCTAATAATTATAATCATTTAACTCAGAGATAAAAATTGAACCGAATCGAAACAAACATATTAATTATATCCAATAACTCTTGCTAGGGTATTTAGGTTCATTTTACCTTGTTTTATTATCTCTCAAACATATCCACTCTTATTAAAGTACATCAAATCATCAAATGCATACCAAACATATCACTTAGCCACTCTACCATATTCATGTGTAGGGGTGCTTAATGAGTTGGGCAACTCATGAGCACCTCGAACTCGACTCGTTAAAATTCGATAAAAACTCGACTCGAGTTGACTCGACTTGAACAGAACTCGAGACCTTAACAAGTTGAGTTGAATAAAGTGCAACTCTACTCGATAAGTTCATAAACAACTCGTTAATTTTTTGTATAATTTTTTAGTAGTTATCTTAAAAACTTATTTTATTCAAAAAAATTATTAATTTACTAATAGATAATAAAAAAGATGATAAATTGCTAATCTATTAATTTTCTTATAAATAACAAAAATATTAAATTATTAATTAATATTTTATTATAATAAAAATTAAACCATATTCATCATTTTAATGTATTTGAGGAGTGTTATTTTGGAATTTAGACTTTGAAATTGCTTCATACTCTTTTGATAATTTTTTTGGTTAAATTTATTAATTTATGTTTATGTGAAGCTCTACATAGTATTAGTAGATTTTACCTTAGTTACGAAAGTAAAGTAAAAATTTCAATGAGTTTAACGAGCAACGAGTAACAAGTCAAGCAACAAGTTTTTTTAATGAGCACGAGTCGAGCAAAATTTTAACGAGCGACGAATCAAGTCGAACAACAAAATTTTTTAACGAAGCACGAATCGAGCACTGTCAAACTCGCAATCGACTCACTCGATAAGCACCCCTATTCATGTGTCAAATACCATTCACTAATATGAATCAATGATCATTTCATAAGTAGCATGTTATTATTACATTAAGTCATCATTATTGTCGACACCATTTTTTCGCCTGGGTAGGGAAAAAACTAGTACGACTTGGGGTTTTTCTTTGATTTTTTTTTGAAAAGTGAAGAGTCACCACCAATCATTTTAAGGTGCAATCGAGACACCATAAAAATCGGGCGATTTTAATAAAACATTTTATTTTTGATCAAAACACCAAGTTTAGGATCTACGAAAACAAAAAAATAGGTTTAGGAGTCAGGTATGCGTGAGGAATGATTAGCACCCCTATAGCGTCTAAAAATCGGTACCTAGTTGATTGCCCTATATTTAAAATTGGAAAATTTGGGTTCAAACTTTATTTAATAAAAAATTCATTATGGATGCACAGTTGAAGAATGTATTCGCTTATTAAAGTCAATAACATTTGCCCCTTAGCATGAATGCGGAAGATCAACTATTGTGCTCAATAACCAGACATTGTCTTGAGATTTTTGAAAATCATGATGCAATTTTGAAAATGTTGTCAACCTATTTCAGGAATCACCAGTAGTTACCCCCTAAGCATACTTGCGGGAGATATACTATTAACTCCCTAATAAGTGAACATTACCTTGTGTTTGAAAATATATGCAATCAATCAGTCACTCTATTTATAATCCTAATTTTACTAGGTGAGTTTATTAAAGGATTTATAGCCTAAAAAATTGTCAAACTATGTAATTAAAGAATCTAAAGGACTAAACCTAAAAATATAGGTTCTAATATTAATCATATTCAATTTTAACTTGTTATTAAATCGAATAATCGAGATGGTCCCTTGAGCATTTAGGTGAGGGCCAACTCAGATTACCCCCTAAATTACAAGGACTAGATTGAAATCTAACCTAAAGTGGAGGATCTAATTATCCAAATTGATTATGTTAATTTAAAGTTCTACTTAAAAGTTTAAAGACTAAAATGCAAGGAAACTAAAGTTCAGAGACCTAAATGTAAAAATCTAAAGTAGAAGGTCTAAATCTATAATACCTAAAGTTTAAGGACTAACCAATAAATCAAGACTCTAATAATTGAACTAATTAACTATTAAAAATTAAGGGATTAGTCTAGGTAAGCTTTAAAATTATTTAATGATTAACAATTTGGGGATTTGGACAATTGACTCGAGTAATCGAGCATTTTATGCGAAAACTTGAATCAAATTGCTCCTTAATTAAACACAAGGTAAAACCTTAATTACTAAATCATATTTCATGTAAGAGGATTTGATCTAAGAACAATTTCTAAAAGATAATTAAATTTTAAAAAACTAGAAATATCATTTAATCGTACCCATTAAAATGAACGTAAGTAATGCGACAAGTTAAATGTAAACAAAAAAATAAAATGAACCAACTAATTAAATTAAATGACAAAAAGGAACGCATTAATAATACCTATTCAAGTAAAACAAATTAAATAATTTAAATTTAAAGAAAAAAAATTAAAAATTAACATTATAATACAGGGTTAAATGTAATAAAAATCATAAAGACTACAATGTAATGAACAATCACATATTATGGGTCCAAATTAAATTACAGCATAAGTACTATAATCAATGACTAAATTAAACAGAACAAAAAATGAATAACTAAATCAAAACAAAATAAAACAACATATTAGTGACCTAAATATAAAAACGCGCTAAAACTAGAGGGACTAAAATGAAAATATACCAACAATACATAACATGCATTAAAAAGGAGAAATAATAGAATTGGTACGATATAAAATGGGTAAATAACAAATTTGGTCATCGTAGGTGACCAAAACGCAAAAAAATGATAATTTTAGGGGGACTTAAGCATGATTCCCCCTAAACTTCTAATATAAAACACATTTCCTTTTCTTTATTTCATTTTAACCTATTTCCAAAAAAAAAAAAAAAAACTCTCCTAACTCTCTCTCTCGACCGACTTTGCCGGACCCACTGCCTCCGTCTCAACCGCTGCTCTGGCAACCACCCACGGTGGCCGGAGTACCCTAGACCTATCCCAAAACCACCCAAAATGTCTGATCTCCCTCTCTAAACCCTAAAACCAATAACTAAAGACATAAAAACAGATCTAAAATGCCCCAAAGGAAACTTGACCTCTCGACTTCTCCACTTCGGCGAAGACCTAACTGCAACAAGGTAAATAAACTAACCCTTTTTTTACTTTTTGTTTAGTTTCAAAAAGAAATAAAATGAAAAAATGGTTCTGAAAAAAACATTTTACCTCTGGAAACATTTTTTTGTATTGCTTCAAAAATTAGTGGGAAAAAGATCCCTTTACATCTTCGTTTTCTGGTTCTTATACCCAATTACAGAGATTATTTTTCAATAAAAATGTTTTATTGAGAATGTTGATGATTCAGTTCGATTTGAGTTAGGTTTTTTGTTTGGGCCCATGTTTGGGTTTTGGTTTGGGCCCGAGTTTGGGTTTGGATATTGGGTATTGGGTTTGTAATTAATAAAAAAAATAATATTTTATAATAATAATAATAATAATAATATTAATAATAATAGTAGTAATATTATAGGTTGAAAAATGGTGACTGCAACTGCCCCTCTTTGCTCTATTTTTGCTCATTTCAATGGAACTGGAATAGAGCAAAGACACAAAACACCATTTTTCAACATGATCATTGCTTGTCGAGTTACGAGTTCTTCTCGTGACAAACTCTTTAATGGGGATGTCAATCCACCTCCTTCTACGATGGCTAAGACCTTATTGAACAAGTTCTTCTCGTTATGAACTTCTTCTTTCGAAACTGATGACCCAACTCTTTTGTGATAGTTGATCCAAGGTGATGTTGATCCAACTCCTTATGTGATGGACAAGCAAAGTATTGAACAATTTCTTCTAATTAGGAGCTTATTCTCTCGGAAATGTTGACCTAACTCCTTATGTGATAGAATCAATCATAGTGTTGATGCTGATCCAACTCCTTATATGATGGATGAGCCAAGGTCGTTGCTGTTCCAACTCCTTATGTGATGTAATCGAGCTAAGTTTGAATAAGTTCTTCTCATTTTGAACTTCTTCTCCCTCATCGGATGAGTTATTCTCATTACGAACCCTTCCATTTGGCAATGTTGTTCCACCTCATTCTATGATGGATGAAATCCGGTTGAAAAAGTTCTTCTCGTTATGAACTTCTTCTCATTATGAACCATTCCATTGGAAATGTTAACTGATTTATCCTCTATTTGAAAAGTTTTAAATCTAAAAAAGATTATCTTATGTCAGTGATTTGTTTTTAAAGTACCCAAAGGTAATGACCCGATGGTCCTTCATTTTACTGAGATCTATTTCTTTCAATTATGAAAGTTATGGACTGATTCTTTACTGAAGTCGTGACATAAAATCTTTGAATTCCTGTCAAATGTTCAAAACTTGATGACAAATGAATGTGTATGCTCCTACTTTTGCAAATGCCTAAATATGCATGAATGATGTGATTTTTGTGTTTCGAGCTATATGGTCTTATAAATATTTGTTTTTCTATCTTTGTCGAGTCCTCGTCTTTGATGGTCCTTTTCTGGTATGTGATCCTGGCTTTCTTCACTCAAAATCAAGATTGATCTTTAATGTTTTATGCATGCTTCTCTTCAAAAGTGGTCGGAGATATGCCTTGGAACAAACTTTTATTGTCATTTAATTATTCATTTTGTCATTCAGGTTATTGACATCTCTTGTGTCACCTTCTATTAACCACTTTCTTTATTGAGTGTGAATATCGACATGGTGGCTTGTCTTGGATTCCCTGTATTTTATAGGTTAATTCAAAGTAATACCAAGAAATTACTTGTTTGAAACTGGGTTATGTTAATCTATTTGTGACATGAAGAAATGAATGATCTAAAGCTCGAAGTGATAATCATGAAATTTATTGATAAAATATAAGTTTTTACACAAAGTCATGGCAATCTAAAGACTTGAGTAAATACTCTAGAAACAAAAGACATATGG